GTACAGCACTATCTCAAGCTCAGAACCACTACCAGTTAGTCTTCTTATCTTGAAATGTTGTCATTAAGAACAAGTATATACATATTCACCCAACTTTTCTGGAAGCTCTCATGAAAACTCCTGTAGCGAGTATGCAATTCAGTGGCAGAATCTGTCTCGTGTGGAACTCATTGCCCAAGAAGGTATTTTGCTTTCTGGATGTGTTCTTCCATTCAGACCACAGGTAGAAAGCTATAGCCACATTCAAGAGCCTATGCTATGGAGGCAATATTTATAGAATCTTAACTAGAGCTCTTCCAGATGGTCTCTCAGCAGCTGATGCAACTTAGAAAAATTCTGTAAGAACTGGTGGGACTGAGGAGAGTTGTGATCAGGGATATTTATTTTTCTACTTTTCTTTTTTTTTTTTTGTCGTTTTTCTTTTGTGGTTTTTTTTTGTTTGTTTGTTGGGGGTTTTTTTGGGTTTTTTTTATTTTTTTGTATCAGAAGGTCCAGGTGTCTTTTTTTCTAATGTTCTTGTGTGGAAATAGCCACTAACTCACTCCCTCAAGGCAGTATTTTTCTTTTTTGTTACTCTGTAGTATTTTGCTCTTTGAATTTTTTTGAAAGACTTTTCATGGTCCCCATTAAAGCAGTCTTTGATTTGCTTGAGTCTCAGGGTATTCCAGCCTGTTATCACTCAGTCTAGTTTTCATTTCAGGCAGCCAAACAAAATTTAGTAACACTACAAATGTGTTTACTGTTTTGCTGATAAAGAGCTCTGGTCACACAGCCTCTTTGCCTTGAACAATATTAAATGTCAGCAGTGGAAAACCACTCACCTGAACACAAGATGCAGGAAAAAACATCTCCCTGAACAGAGGGAGAGAGGAGGATCTGGCCTTAATGTGCTGAAGTATTCGAGCCAGCAAATTAATGATTCTGATGTACCCATGAGAAAAAGTGCTGCTCCTCAGCTGAGAACCCTTCCCATAAATGTCAGGGGGTGCTCTGCATCTTACTGTCAGCTCAAAGTATGTGCTGATCCTTGGGGAATTTTAAAAGGAGACTGCAGTCCCAGGAAGTTTATGATGTTTTCCTGCACAGGTTGGGTTTGTGGTTGTTTCGTCCCTCAGTCTGTATTTCTTTTTTCTTCTTTTTCCTCCCCTCCCTTATTTTTTTATTCTTTCTTTTACCACTTTTCTGTAATCCAAGTCCCTCCTTCCCATTTATATGCCTCATTTCCATCTTTTCAGATCCCTTCCTGCTGCGTGATGAGCTGTTTGCTTTTAACTAGTGGTGGGTCCCTCAGCAGGACCTCTCAGGTCCCCAAAACCCACTGGGATCAAACAATTTCCTCTGATCTCTGGTAAAATCTGTTCCTCTCCTCTTATCAAACAAGAAGAAAGGAGGCAGCTAGGAGTCTCATGGGCTGATGGGCTCGTGTGTTCCTCTGGTCTCTAAACAGCCATTCCTATTTGGAAAAACAGTTCCTCAGTATTCATGTTGCCACCTGTGTTCCCACAGCTCCCATAGCTATTGCTTTAACTAGTACTGTGGTGCTTTTTTACTGAACAGGAGAGATTTCAAGATTAGGTTTCAGTAAGTGTTGAGAAATGAGGCTTTGTTTAGACAGAGGGCTCCATTAATAACTAGAGAAAAGTAAAAAACCTAATTTCAGTAGTTGTTCTGGCTTTTCATAACACCCAGAGCAAAGGGACAGAGGTGCTGTGGAGAGGTGGAAACAAAAAAGGGGATGTGTAAGACAAGATAGGCTTGTGTCAGCACAGCCCTGTGCACCAGTGTCATCTTTTGGCCACATTTCTGAAAGTAATAGTTTATTATTAAAAAACAAATGTAAATATTTTTATTTTCCTTTTGCAGTATAAACACAGTTAGTGTCTTAGGTAAAGTGGAGACTAAGAATTTGAAGAGACTTTCTGGTTTATTTGAATCTCCTGCTTGAGTGTCTGTTCTCTGGTGAGGCCACAAGGGTGTCTCACACACAGAATGAATGGCAGTCCACCAAGCTGACCTTTGAAGTTTTTTTCTCTCTTCCCTTCTCCCTTTTTAGAGGTTTCCCAGCTATACATGGATATACAGGTGGTACCAAGCAGCACCAACTCCCAGGCAGGGCACTGCATTGCACAGCTGGGGGCTTTATGCACACACAAGGAGGCTGCAGTACAGAATGTTGCACACACATTAATCAGCCTTTCAGCTGGTACCTTGGACTTCCTGTGGCTGGGAATAGCTCTCATCCATCTCCAAGTAACATGTTCAGGTTAGGAATACAGCTCTGTTAATGAGGAATTATGGAATGCTTGTAGTTAAATGTGTAACATGCAAGAAGTGTTATTTTAGTAATGACAATAATGGTGATGATGTTGTGAGTGATGCAGATGAAGCGCTGCAGTGATGGAGGCTGGTTTTCCTACATGATAGGAAAGCAACTTTTTTTACTGTACTGGGATTTAAAGGTTTGAAATCTGTTATAAAATGATTTTTTTTATCACCTTTTGATTAAAGCATAATTTAGATTTCTTAGTCTTCAGGTAACTTACAGTGTGGTAGTGATCTCTTGTGATTGTAATGCACAATTTAAAAAATAAATACTACATAAAGGGATGAAAATATGGAAAAAATAAACATATTTTTCCAAAGGATGTTATAAATTCTCACTGCATTGGAATGAGAAACAGAAAAGTGTTACTTTATCAGTTTCTTTTCTGTGATATTTTGAATGATTTAAAAATATGCAAAGACACAGAGAGTTCACAACAGATTGTCTCAGTTACAGACTTCATGATGGACTTTGGCAAACATGTTTTACAGAATAAGGATGAGTCAAGTGCAGCCTTGGGTGCCAAGGGTGACTTAAGCAAAGTGAATTGATGTTATGCCCTCTGTTTTTCCTATATAAGCATTTTTCCTCTTTTGTTTTCTTTATTTTCTGTATCTTTCTCTTCCCTAACACATACTTTTTTTCTGTTTTTCTAGCACTAATTCCCCCTTAGCTTAATTTTTCTGTAGCTTCATTCTGCCATGTTATTTGTTTTCAGGATTTCTTCCCTTCAGTCTCTTTTTAGCCCCTTTCTTTTCTGGATGTTGGTATTTTACTCCATAAAGACTGAATTTTAGAAAGTGTTTTACTGTATGTTCTGCCATTTCTTTTCAAGTTCTGGTCTGACTCCAAGCCCCAGACCACATGATTGGCCTGTAATTTCCCAATCTTCCTCCTTTCCCTTTCTGAAGTTTGCATCATTTTTCAGCCATGGTGAGTAGTCTCTCTACTTCAGCTTCCCAAACTATATGAATAAATTGATGGGGCTCTAGCTGAAATGTTGCTGAATCACCTATCTATTCAGATGCAGAGCAGGCTGGCTGGGTACAGCCAGACTCATGTTAGGGCTGCAAGAGATAAAACCCAAAAGGGATGGTGACATAATTAAGAACAGGTTTCTTATTATCCATATCTCCTCCAAGCTTGCACTGATTAACTGGATTTACACTCAAGTCTAAATTGTGCATCTTCTGCTTCTGAGTTAATTTAAATAAATAAAACCCTCAAAAAGAATTTGAGATTATTTGGTAAGGAGAACCATGGATGATGATTTACAGCTAACACAGCAAAGCAGGAAGGACAGCAGCTACTGAGTATTTGTGCAAAGGACAATGTGGTGGAATGGCTGTAAGGGAAGAAATGATTACTCCTCTGGAAGAGAGCTGAAAGCCTTCTCTACTTTTGGAGCTGTTGTTCTAATTCTCATCCATGGCAAAGAGAGCAAGCAGCTGTTGTTGAGATGTTGGCCCATGAGCCTGTAATTGTGGCTGTTCCTAGTTTGATGGCATCTAACTATGAATTTCTTGTGTATTAAATGGGGAAAATACAATTTTTTTCCAGATTAGTTTTAATTCCTGGTGCTTAGATACAGACTTTGTGAAGGATGTTTGAAAACCATTACCAACAAAAAAAATTTCTTTATTTCAGCCCAGACAAGAATACTGTAATTTCTCATAAGTAACATTTGTTGCATCCCTTGAACTTAGGAACAAAACAAGAGAAGTATTCACAAAGGTTGACATTTGGGAGCAAAAAAAGGTAAGTAAAACACTCAAATTTATGCTAAAACTCTGTGCTCATTATCTTTATTTAAAAATATCTCATTAAACATATACATTGTAACTATTCTAATTTGTTGTTCTGTTGGACACTATTGTCTCTGTGATGGCAGAATTGAATGAGAAAATGAACCAGGAGATTTTTTTAAGATATTAGAAGAATCAGTCTTTTTTGGTTAAGAATATAGCTGGAAAATAACTTTTGTTTCCAGATTTCAGTATAGGACACCTTCTCCTTCTCCTTCTCCTTCTCCTTCTCCTTCTCCTTCTCCTTCTCCTTCTCCTTCTCCTTCTCCTTCTCCTTCTCCTTCTCCTTCTTTGTTTAAATTACTAACCTGTTCTTATCAAAATGTACAGTTTTTACTTTCGATTCTCATCCCGATCCCGCTGTGCTGTGGGAGGTTGAACCAGCAGTTTCTTGGTGCCCAGCTGCCAGCTGAGCTTAAACCAGAGCAGTCCTTTCTGGCCTGCAATATGGGGCCAGAGGGTTGAGATAATGGCAACACTGTTCCAGCTACTGAAATTAAAATAACTCCATCCCAGCCAAAACCTGGACAAGAGTGAAGCAATAGAGCAAACATTTGATGGTTTCTGACAGTGTCACATTGGAAAATTTATTTGATAATTTTATCATTGTAAGAATTATACTGAGCAGTTTCAGGAAGTGTTCCTCTAGAGGTTTACTGCCAGCAAGCCAGGAAAGCTACCAGAACGTGGTTACATGGTTAGCAAGGTGTTTAATGGCAAAGAAGAATTTTAAAAAGCCTTAAGAAGCTTTTATATTTTAGATTTGCTACATTTTTAATCAGGATGCAAATATAGTAAGGTGGTGGGTTGAATGAAAGAAAACTACATCCAGTTTAGCAGGCAGTTCAGTGCAGCATGTTTTGTAGGGGAAAGAGCTGGTGCCAAGCTCTGTCACATGCACTGGGACTGACTCTCTTCTGGTCCTGCAGGCTGATTACCTGTCAGTGGTTGGAGCACATCAGGTGAGTGTGTGAAGTTCAGCTCTTCATTTAGGCCCACACAGTGAAATGGAGTTTGTGTGCTCTCAGGTTACCCTGAGATCTGAAAAGAAATGGGGTAATTGGAGATGGCAGGAGATTTGATTCAGAAGAGCACTCCTGCTTCAGGCTATCACATTAATATAGACACACACAATACTAATTAAGAAGCAATGGACCAAATGGACCGAAGGAACAGGGAACACATAATCAATACAGCAATTCCTGTTGTATTATGTCATGTCTCTGTATTATTACTTTTTTACACCATTTACAATTCCATTCATTCTAGTCTAGGAATGCCTACATAAATTTGCAATAGGGAAACAATATTTTCTTTGCAAGAATCCCTTTGTCTTCAGTAAGATTTTCTTTCACTTTCTAGAACTTGATGTCAGTACTTTTATAACCTCTGCTTAAAAAAGATCACAGTACTTAAAGAAATGCAACCATCCTAAATGTCCTCTGATCACTAGACATCTTAATAGAAGTGAAACAGATTGACTTCAAAACAAACTGGAGGCTTTGAGACTGTAATTTCTGTAGTTTTTCTAGGTCCCCATAACTTCTTCCTCTTTCTCTCACTTCTTTCCTCTGTAGTTTGTTTGAACCATTTGTATCTACTGGAAAATTCCCCATAGGCTGTATTTACTTTCCAGAGGGAGCATAATATGAAGCTATTAGCAGCTGTTTGTACTTTTATGTTTTTCCTTTTCAGAACTCCAAAGCTCCAATTTTGATGGTATTTTCTATACTATCTTTATCATGTAGTTGACTGAGCCCTACCGAGTACCAAAGGCACATGACTCTCCATGTGAGATTTGGGACTGTACATCTGAGCTGGGAGTATTCACCTGGGGAAATTTCAATGAAGCCATGGAAAAGCGCAATCCTGAAGCTTCTACTTGATGGGAATATGTTAGGCCTTTTCATAGCTTTTAATTCTGTGTTTGTATAATGAATCTAAAGGAAGCAACTTGTTTAAGGAATGTAATGAATTCAAGGGATGCAAAGGGAGATGTTAAGTGTTAGGGGTGTATTTACCAGGAAGACAAACACCTTTATGGTTCTTCTGTCTCCTTCACTGGGAGCAGGTAATGTGCTTGTTTCTGGAGCAGTCCCCAGGCTTGCCTGCATTCAGGGCAGCAGCAGAGAAGATGCAATGCTGAGCAGCAACCAGGGCCTGCTTCATGGTTGGGCCCTTTCAATTTTCTCTTAATAAGCCCAGAAAATAGTTTTTGAATTTGTCAGACACCACCGAGCTGTAAAAAAGTTATCAGTGTGACAGGAGCCCTGTCAAATATGTCCAGATGGGCTCTCATGCCTGTACAGATTGCCGTTCTCTCTTAAATTTCTGCTGCTTTAATTAAAAATAAAATAAGACATGGTTCTTGGGTCTGGGTTCATCTTAATATATATAAGTTCACCTCTGCTCTTAAATGCACGGCCAGGCAGTCTGTTGCCAAACAATTACAAAGAACGTCTGTAAATTGGATTCACTACACCATCTCCAGGGACGGCTACAATTGTCAGCTCTGTCAGCTAAATGAAAATAATGAAATGTAAGTTACAAACAGCAAGAAAATTGGGTGAGTCATTCTATTTATACATGTAATTACATCTAAAGGTCCAAGTGCCTTGAAATTAAAAGAAGATTGGTTCTGTCAGGTTCTTAACAAGGTTTTCCTGGAAAGGGTCTTCCTGGAGAAAGCGCTGTGGAAAGCATGTGTGTCGGCAGAGCACAAACAGCTTGACGGTGTCTGCCAGCATTGGAGTGAGGGAGCGCTGCAGTGCCCGTGTGCTCATTGCTGTGACCGAGATGGAGAGTGACGGCCACGCCGGGCTCTGCCTCCCCACTGCTCTGATAATGAGCATCAGCCCAGAGCTGACAAAAGGAGGCAGAAAATGCTGAGGACGAGCGGGATCTCCTCTCTTCTTTCTTTGAATCTCTCAGAAGGCCTTGGGGCTCTGGAAGCTTGGTATGAGGATGCATTGCATATTAATAATATATAAAGCACAATTAGCACACATGGTGCTTTGCAGGCTTGTAACTCATGCTTGGCTCTGAACTTCAGCACAGCGCTATGGGGGGAATAGGGAAGAGCTACAGCATAAATACAAAATAACGGATTGATGCATTATTGAACAATTTAGTTCAGCAAGTCTTGTCAGCACAGATTTGAAGGAGGAAAAAAAGAAGTTCCATGAGACATTCACACAAATAAAGTAATGGGATTTTGAGGATAGAAAAATAGCTGCAAAAGTGTTGGGTTTTCCTTTCATCAAGTGGTTATAATATTTTTAATTAAAAGCTTATAGGATAATAATTTTTTTGAGTATTGATGGGGAGACAACATCTGTGGCTGTACCATCAAATACAGAAGTTATAAATTGAATCTTTGTTCTAGTTGCAGCTGGGATAGAGTTAATTTTATTCCTAATAACTGGTATGGTGCTGTTTGGATTTAGTATAAAAACAATGTTGATGACATTCTGATGTTTTACCTGCTGCTATTCAGTTTATTCTAAGCTAACAACTTTTCAGGTTCTTGTGCTCTGCCAGTGAGAAGGCTGGAGTGGCACAGGAAGGTGTGGGGGGACACAGCCAGGACAGCTAACCTAGAGACCAAAGGGCTGTTCCATAACATATGGCATCTGCTGAGCAACAAACTGGGGGGAAGACTGGCCAGAGTCCACTGCTCAGGAACTGGCTGGGCATCAGTCAGTGACTGTGATCAATTGCCTTGTGCATCACTTGTTTTGTATACTCTAATTCTTTTATCATTATTATTATTATTATTATTATTATTATTATTATTATTATTATTATTATTATTATTATTATTTTCCTTTTCTGTTTCATTAAACTACCTTTTTCTCAACCCATGGGTTTTATCTTGTTCTTCTGATTCTCTTCCCCACCCTGCTGTGGGGCAGGTGGAAGGGTGAGTGAAGGTCTGTGGGATGCTGAGCTGCCAGCAGGGGTTAAACCATAACACACTTCCATGTGAAAGCCTATAACTCATGTATTATATAACTCATGTTATGGGACTGGAACCAATTGCCTCACAGAAGTCCTGTGTTTTACAGATATATTATAATAGGAAGCATCAGTGGGCTGATGTGACTTATTTTGTGTGTCCATTATAGTACAGTGATTTTATTAACATCCAGAGTGTTTTAAAGCACTACTAGTTGGCACTGTAATTTATGGTGCATCTTAAATATTCACTTACAAAAGCTGAGTATTGGATGTTCCTGTTCATATAACATGAATTTTTAATGCTTTTCAAATAGCTGAAAGTGAGCCCATGTGGTACTTTATTTTGGCAATTTATATAATAGATTTAACAGATACATTGTGGAGCATGCTTTTAATGTCCATTACTGTACTTAGGAGCATATATGTTACATTGCAGATACAATTTTGTAGTACAATGTTGCTGTAAGAAGTTGCTGAAGGACTATCAAGACCATGGTTACCAATTATGGTTCTTAATTTTTTTCTGTTGAAAAGATAACTAAATAAATTCATTAGTAAAAAGTAACACAGTGACAGGTTGTCACATGAATATTTGTTCTGTTAACCAGATTTGATTTTTGCTAAGAAAACATCTAGCTGCTAAAATGTCTATTTGAAATCTGGCTTGCTTCAGCGAGAGAGATAAAGATGATATGTGTTTCTTTTCAGCAACAAAATAAAATATAGACTGGCTGTCATTACTTGTGCATATTTGTAGCATATTTGTTCAGGGTCATTTGTATATTCATCATTATTTACCTCATAGATATTTTGAGCAAAACTCTCATTTCTTTAATAAGAACAATCTGCCAAGCAAAGCCCAAATTTTAATTACTTTAAATATTTTTTTTCCTGATAAATAACATCACATTTGAATGGTTGCAGTATCTGTGAGAGGCTGAGTGGAGTTCAGCATGTCCATTCATGGGGAAAGCTACTGTGACCTTGGCTGGATGGAGATGACCAGAATGAAGAACATAACTCCAAAATATACTGGTAAATCCTGTTACAGATCTTTAGATTCCACTGATATCTCAAAATTTGTGTTATTTCTCTGTGGGATCCCCCAAATTAAACTTCAGTGTAAACAGCTCAATTTATCAGAACTGAGTATGACTGGTGTCCAAAAACCCCCCAAAAACCCCAACCCTCCAAAAATTTCCAAAGCCCTAGGAACAGGCACCATGGACATGTTCTTTTTGAATGCATGTTTTAGAACCAAAATCTCCCCATCCCATTCAGGGGCTGCGCTTCTGGTTTTGGATAAAACAAAATTGAACTGTGCCAATGGAAGGAAGTAAACTTACCCTTGAAGAATCCCAGATTTCTTGATGGTGAAAAATTAAATTTTCCTACTTCTGTAGCTCAGACAAACTCTTCTGAATGGTCCTTAGAGAAAACAGACATATCTTGACAAATTTTTGGTTCTTTTTGATAGGTGAATGCTTTTTTTCAGGAGTATGAAATACCATATTTGCTAATCTGTTGAGAGTTTCTATTGCACACTGGATGCTCTCATTTTCATGTGTTTTAATTCAATTTACTTTTATTTTATGGGGTTAATTCAAGTTGTATTGAAATTTTATATTAACAAGGTAAATATTGGGATAGAGCAGAAAAGTTCTTCAAGTCCTTGGGTTTTACCATTTTATTGACAACAAGAAACAGTGAATTAGGTAAAAGATTTGTATAGATGTTTTTTGCTTAGCATCCAAAAACCATTTATCTCCTTATCTAGCAGCCTTTTCCACTGCCTGACCTACTCATTCTTCTGAGGAATCAGATGAAAACGAATCAGTCAGCACATACATTGGGGTACTGCAGCAGGAGTTTTACATTAGAAACAATCTCAGGAATGACAGAGAGACACATTTGTCAATTCAAGAATGGCACTGAGAGGGATCTTAGTTTTTGAATTAAATCAGGACTTGCCTTTATCATACTTTAAAGCTTCCCATCACCTTGTATCAAGCAGGCTGAGTGGCAACATAAGGAAGATCGAGACCTTGAAGTTTGTTCTGCCCCTTTGCTTTCCAGGCAGGTAGATATTTGCAGAATTTGGCAGCCTGAGCAAAGCCAAATTGTCAGAGATTTGGACATCAACATTTCACAATTATAAATGTTGAAAGCTTTCTGTTGAAAAATTGCTCCACATTTTCCTTTTCAATCAACAGCTACAGGGGTCCACTAATACTCTGCAGGATAAGTGTAGGTGTTTGACAGACTGCTTGTAGGTGAAAGGTTTTTGCTGCAGCAACCCATTATAGTTTTACGTAAGTTACAGACATTTAGATCGTACTGGGATATTACAGGAAACCTTCGAGATGCAAATAATTTTTTTCCCACTGCACATCTGTGTCAGGGTACTCTGGCTAATGCTAAGCACTAAAAGGCATCATCTTCAAATCAACAACCTGTTTTTCAAGTGCAGTTTAATGAAGGAGGAGCCTGCTAACACATAGGGTTTCCTGATCTTATTCTAAATAGGTGGTCATGTGTCAATACACCAGATTTCTCTTTACAGAGCTCTATTCCCCAGTGACTGGTATGCCAGTGCATTGCAACCTTCACATCAAAAATTTCAAAGGCAAAAGACCTTTTAAAACCCTTTTAAAAACCAAATACTAACAGTACAGCTCACTTCTGTATATACTAATACATGCAAGTGAAGGAGGATCATACCTGAGAGAAAATCCAGCACTGCAGGTTAACCATCAAAGGGTATCTGCTCTTTCTCCCAAATAAGAAGTTAAAAAGGTCTAGAGAAGATATTTAGTCTGAGATCCAGCTGTTAGACCAGGTCTGCATTGCTGGCACTGCTTTCACTGGGAAGAAATGGAATTTTTGACAAGTGCAGCACTACATGCTCACTTTCTCCTTGAGGATCTTATCAAATTAACATAAAATGACCATTGAAATGTGATAGATTTGATATTTAATTCTTAAAATCTGGTAGTTAATCAATAGATCAGATGTTAATAGGAGTCCCAAAGCATTACTGACTGGTTTTAGACTGCTAAGACCTTTGACTGTGTAGAAGTAGAAAAAGTAGAAAAATCTGGTGGTGACCATGCATTAAAGGAACTGAAATAGTGCCTGCCCAAGTACGTAATCTCACTATAAACCATTGCCTGCCCACTGCAGAGGCAGTGTTACCTCTTTCTGTCAGGTGCGATTGGCCCTGTCTACATGCTGGAAAACTTGCTGTGTACAAACACATGCTCTGACAATCCCTGTTTGCATTAAATACCATGGAAAATGCTGTATTTTCTTGACTCCCTATAGGCAAAAGGTGATTTTGAGGTAACACAAAGTTTGGCATAAATTGCTTTTCACTCTACATTGAAGGACACCAGGGCACAGAAATAACACTTAAGACAGTATCTTGCTTACTGAGAATATAGAAATATGCATGTCTATAAGTGTTTATATAAATAATAGAATAATTAAAAGTTTATATAAATCACTGGGTTCTGGCCCTATAGGTCTAACAAGAGAAGAGATAGCTACATAACAAGTATGTGTTCTTATGTAGGAGAATTTGCAAAGCTAAAAAATATTCACACAGTACCAGTTGCCAGAAGACAAACAAATATGGGAAAAGTCCCATAGAGGTCCTTCTAATAAAGCTTTACCTCATTAGCTACTGTGTTTTTCTGTCCCATATTTACATACACAGTATCAAATATGTGGCAACTCTTAAACTGGCTCAGTCTGTAATACAGAATTTTTCAGATAGACAGAAAAGTCTATCAGTAGATGGATAAGAAAATGGTTGCTAGGTTACTCTGTGGTTAAGTCCCAGATACTGTTGTGTAGCCTTATTTCTAGTGAAAAAATATAATTAATTCTTTGGTTAATATAACCTTTTAATGGCAAGCTCTACAAATACTTGAAGATTGCAGTATGTTTCAGTAGGCAATTGCTAATTTAATGTCCAAAAAGATGAAGATGAAATTGCAGAAATGCAAGAACTATCAATGCAATTTCACCTCCACAAGTAAAATATTTTATATTAGTTACATCTCAACACTGAATTGTATATTGTTTTTTTTTTTTTCACACTTGGACAAGACAAAGGAAGAATTTTGGTCATTTCTGTGCATAAAAACATTTTCCCTTGCAGTTTTCAGCATAGACACTACAGCAGCCAATGAAGACAATGCAAGCATCCTGAAAGTCAAAATATTGTTTTCTAAGGCATATGAAGAAAAGAATTTTCAAATGTTTATCCTATCCATTAACAAATCCCATGCTTTAGCTAAGTCCTGTTTAGATGTTCTCCTAGCTCCACTAAAGGCAATTGCAAAATTTCCACTGGCTTCAAAGTAGAAAGCATATTAATCAGAAATGTTCTTCAGGAAGGTGACTCTCTTGAATTCCAGGTGTATTAGATCAAGAATATAACTCAAAAGGACTAAAGAAAGAACCTGTCATTCAGCCAGGTACCAGGAGCTGTGCTATGCTTTCTCAGCTGGTAACTAATGAAGGCATGTTTTAAGAATATGTTCCTGATTCAGAGGCACTTCTGTTTCAAAGTTCTGTTCTAGAAAATTATTAACAGTATTACTTTGCTTCAGCAGCTGGGGTTGTGATTTCACACATTAATTTCTCTTTTTGTGGTAATAATTTTAATGAAACAAAGTGAAAATTTGTATTCTCCTTGCTTTGTTGATTAAGGAGTACTTGGAAGCCCAATGGTTATTATTCCAGCTTTTGTGGAACCCCCCCATGCATGTGCATCAACACCCACACACATCTCAGGGGGAGCTGAGTGGTTTGTTTCACATTTAGCAACCTCCTCTGTATTTTTAAAGCATCTGGTCTCCCGAGGCTGAGATATCTGGATAGTTCTTGTGAAGTAATTGTCTTGTTTTGACACATGCATTACATTCACCTACACTTCTTGGTACTCTCTGTCTAAACTTGTTCACAAATATGTACCTTGGGACACTGGATGGGAACAAATTCTGATAGAAAGTTAAAAAGAAGACTCACAAGAATTCTAAAATTGTTTGTACCCTACTTGGTTTTCTTACTTTTTCAATCTGCTGCTGAAGCCTTACGTATTTTTCTCTTAGGACTTATATTCTATCTTAGGACTTAGTTATTCCTCTGCTCTGGAAACTCTCAATGTATACATTTTCAAGGCTATCAGCTCTATCAAATGATTATTGCATGGCATCCATCAAAAAAAATCTAGGCAAATAACTAGTAAGACTAAATAAACCTGGGATTTACTGGATGACAGGGAGCTGGAGGATAGCTGCATATGCTTTTGGATATCTGTTTGTTCCTGGCAGAATTGATTTCCTGGACTTATACATTGGGACATACAGCTACTAAATTAAATTTTTGGTTTAAAGTTGGTTAAGTTTTGTTTTCATTTTCTGGTTCTCGGTATATTTATGTAGGCTAAAACTGTTGAAAAATAATGAATGAATTTTAAATTTGTGCATCCAGCGAATGGTTACCTTGATATACACACTTTTTTTGTACATATGTGTAAATCTGGGAAGTGAAAAGCATGTATGGCATATTTACACTGATGGGTGGTAACTTATCCTACTCTTTGGCTACTCTGGCTCAAAAAATCACTGGGATTAAGGAAGACATGCAGGCAAAGAGCAGGGTGTGCACACACACAGAGGGTAGAAATAGGACTAAACAAGGAAATAGGATAGACTGCTATGACAAAGCTTAGGGCTCAGGTAGACAGGTAAATAGACCAGAAGCCTATTTACATGTTTGACTGCTGTAGTGCTCTTTGTCCACTTCTGCTCCTACCTTGTCCACCCAGATCCTCCCCTTTCCCCACCTTTGGTCCTTCCTCTAAACATCCCATGGGAAGTCTTGTGTATTTCCACAATCCCCTTAAATGACCCCATAATGAGTTTTGAGCAAAATCCAAATTCTCTTCCCCCACAAACCACAATAAATTCTGCAACTCTTTGGGCAGCCATCCCTTAGTTGTGTGGCATGGCTTTCGAGAGAGAGCATGATAAAACTTTCTGTGGCTTTTCTCAATGCCTGTGTATGATTCTACCTGGCAAGTGCTTAAGATGATCCTTGATTGTACATTTGTACATCTTGATTTAAGAATAAGAAGGGTAAGACTAAGAAAAGAGCTTTGGATAAAACCAAGTTAGACAAAGCATGCAACAAGTGACAGTTTTAAGGTGACCTCTAATTTTGAACATTTGATGTCACCTGTGTGGGGCTTTTGTGCTGCAGTACTGAGTAGTCAGAGAAGTCCCTGGGTCAAAGAAACCAGTGTAACTCTGATGCAGAACAGGTTGCTATAAACGCAAGTTTATTTTTGTGTGTGTTTATTAATTTTAGAGGCTATTGCTAACAAACCAGTCACATTTCTTATTATCTCTGCATCTGTATTACCTGGGGGTAGTTGTGCCAGTGAAATGAGTGAATTGAATGTAGCTCCAAATTCACCTCACCCATCAGAATGTAACCTGCAGTATATATAGGTAGGCTGACAAATTACACTGTCATATATTTCATTTTCTCAGTGTTTGGGAATTCCTTCAGTAACCCTTCCATAAGTGATACAATAGCCCTAGAAAAGAATGTAGCAAATAAGTTTTGACACACTGAAAATAAACTTAGGCATAATAAAGACTTTATAGTTCATCCTCATTTTCAGATTGGCAGTGGCTTAGGCTTGTTTGGTGCTACAAATTGGCTAAAAAAACTACAGCTGCTATAAACTAGGATCCAGAAGTTCTTGTAATACTGTAAATTGTGAAATTTTGGGTGCAGGGCTGGTGATTCAGCAGGTGAAGCTGTGTGGATGGGGATGAACATCCTTCCTCTCTCCTCATGAGGTTGGGGCTGCTGGAGCCCATCCTGAGAATACAGCTCCCAGTTCTCCCTTCCTGAATTTCCTGTGTGGTCTCCAATAGCCAGAGCACTTCTCAATGGGGCCTTGAAAACAACTCAAAGGAACTTAAATTCAAAGCAGTCCATAATTTTTTAAGCACTTATGTTTTTTTCCTTGTATTTGAAAAGGAAACTACACCCAGGGGGAATGCATTCCTGTTATTATTTACAGTTGGTATAACCCCTTTAAGTAGAACTGATGCATGCAGAAGAAAATTTCCCTGATGACAGCTCAGCTCTCCTGCAGTCATCCTTGCCTTAGGTGGGTCATGAGGCTGTTTGACACAGTGGGGTGGATTCCAGCAGGTGTCCTCTGGTGCCACTGAGTGTTCCCAGTGAAGAGACCTATAACTAGGCAACATTACCAATCCTTACCCCCAGAACTTTCACTGTGTAGTGTCAGTCTTTAATATATGCACTGTAAACTCATTGACTGCAGGGTCAAAGTAAAATCACATTATGTATCAAAATTGCCCTGCAGGTAATCTTTCTTTTAGTCATTTAAAATCTAGGAGAACAAGTTGATTCCTTCTTTTAACAAGCTGAAAAGGAAGAAAGTTAGAAAAGTTAAAGGACAAATGCCTAATTTGAGGGCAGAGAACATGAGTGGGAAAATATTACTGGGAATTCTTGTTAAGGATTCTGTAAAGTTGCAGAATGAAGAAAAAAAATGAAATGTTTCATAATTAGACTGAAAGTGTCATCATGTTCTTGGCTTTCTGTGAGACATGAAAGGCAAAATCACTTTAAACTTATTTCTGAATCATATTCTTCCCTTAGATTATTCTTCCCTTAGGTCGGGGAAACATTATGTGTCTTAGAAGAAAAATCTTCTGACACTCCTGTTGTGTTATGAAGTGCCTGCTTTGATAAAGTGGATGAAGAGAGAGCACTTGCCCATTTTATCAGTGCTATCAACAGGTCTTGCTGTTCCTCTGTCGAGTCCCTCTTTGTAACTCTGCTAGAGACCTAACAAAACCTAACTAAAGGGTTGCATCTCTATTCAATAAGGTCATCAGCCAGCTGCAGTCCTGAATGCACATTAGATGTGCAACAATGTACCACAATAACTATTCCTCTCTGCAACCCAACTATTTTCACTAGACCAGTGTGGGCAGCCCTTCTAGCGGGCCCTTGTGATGCAAAAGAAGAGTTGTGTGTAGGAGACAGCAAAAAATAGCACAGAATATACAGATGTGCTAGATGTAAATTAGTTTTTTAAAAGAAATAAGGAAAGAGGTTTATAACATTCCATTGATGTTTTTTTCCTTCTGTTTTGTTTTTTCTCCCCTCATCCTGCTGAAGGAAAGGGAGGGCTTGCAAGAATGACACAGCTGTCTGCTACAGAAGCTGGATGAAGGACTCCCAGCTAAAACCTGACACCTGCTGCAGCTGCCCTGCTCTTATTCTTCCTATTTGCTGGAAGTTCCCTCAATGCCTTCAGAAAGATGGTGTCTCTGCTGCTGATTCCACTGCAAAAGCCCCTGACTGAGGAATCTGTAGTTTTCCAGTACTGAGAAAGAGAAGTTGAAGTCCCCCCTCAAAGCCAGGAGAAGGAGAGGTGTGCTGGCCGGGGTCTACAATGTACTAATATTCTTGGGATTTTGTATTTTCTGTATTTTCTTTTTTATATAGCAAATCTTATTTTCAGTCCTATTAACCTTGGATTTTTCTGATGCCGAGAGATTCTTATTCAGTTTATTTTTGAAGAGGGTATTATCTCAGTCAGCACATTATCAAGTTGACTATTGCTGTACTATTTTCTTTTGTGTACTTTAAACATCTGTTGTAAAAACTTCCTTTTCTCTGTTAACTTTCTTGGTAGGTAAAATTTCTTTCTGCTAGTTGCCTTATATATATATATATATATATATTCCACTACAGATTACATTTTGAGATCTACCATATTATATGTAGTAATGGTCTGAAAAAGAACTCATTTTCGTGGTAGAATTTTAGTTACTCCTTTTATTGCCTTGTTCTTGGTTTATGTTCATGCTGATTTATCAAAAGATGCAATTTAAAAGGTGGAATATGATCTTGTTCTTTCTATTAGCTCTTCTCTGCTTACTCCCTCCTTTAGTGCCACTCTCACTCTCTTTCTTACAGATGCAGTCTCTCATTCACATCTCTAACTCCTGTACTTTCTCCAGTGATGTATTCCTTTCCTTTTGTTTTGATTTTCTCTTTACATTCTCTTTTCCTTATGATTTTTCCTCATTGCAATAGACTCCCAAGCTGACAAATGGGGAAAAACAGGAGACAAAGACTCCTGATCCTGCTGTGTTTTCTTCAAATTCTGTAGAAAAGATAATTTTCTTTGCCTCTTCCTTGGTGTGTGTTCCCTATTTCTATCTTACTGCATGTTTCTCTCTCCTAAAACAAGCACACATTCATTTTTTGCTGCTTTTCTGAGACTTTTCATAGCAGCCCCTGTTATCTCTCTCCTTAGATATACACTTCCCCCCATTCTGCCCCTTCCCTTCTATTTTGTCAGAAGAATTCATCTGCAAAGCTGCCTCATTGCTTTCTTCAGTACTTCAATTAAAGAATAAAGTTCTTCTTCCCCTCCTCCAAGTTGCTGAGAGATGTGTCAGTCGTCTCGTGGCTCTTGCTGCCGTGCTGCCCAGTGCTGATTGACTCCTCATTTCTGGTGCTATTCCAGCAGCTTTCACTCCTTTCCTGTGGCTGGCCTCATGCTGGTGGCTTCTCTGCATGCAGTGGTGCAGCAGACGGACCCCTGAGGAAGCTGTAGCTGAGCCACCCCGGGTGCCAGAAGAGGACGGTGCTGCTCCTGCAGCGCTCTCCTAGCAGTGTTTTCCTCCTGCCAAGCTGACTCCCTGGGAAGGAGGTCATAAGGATGTAGCTAGGCCAGGGCTTGAGTAAGTGTCTTAGGCTGGAAATGGGGGTGTGTATTCTATTGCCATCTCTTAGAAGTGGGGCCGTTATCTTCTGTTAATTGGGCAGTTTTCTTTGTTTCTTCCACAAGAAGAAATTTTCTTTCTTTCTGATCCTTCCTCCAGGAGATATCTTCTGTTAATGGGCCATTGAGTGTCTGATGACCATGACTGATAAAAGTTACATCATCCCTTTGTGAGATGCTCCACCCAGAGGGAGGAGCCAAGCATTCCTACCTGGGTATAATCTGAGATTTGGAACACCACAGACAGATGGGTTCCCAGAGGAAGACCAGGCCCATCTTTCCCCACTGGGTTCCCAGAGGAAGACCAGGCCCATCTCCACCACCACTGGACCTTCAGAGGAAAACTGCACCCTTCTGCAGGATCACTGCTCCAACAGAACCACATCTGTCACTGCAGGAGGACTGCAGCCACCATTCCAATTGGACTGCTACCAATGCCCTGATCCGCAGGGTGTCAGGTTGTATTCTGACTCTGTCAATGGCTTGTTTTCTTTTCTTGTACTATTGCATTTGTATTTTTTATTTTCCTAGTAAAGAGCTGTTATTCCTACTCCCATATCTTTGCCTAAGAGCTCCCTAATTTCAAAATTATAATAATTCAGAGGTTTACATTTTCCATTTCTAGAAAGGCTCCTGCTTTCCTTAGCAGACACCTGTCTTTTCAGACAAAAACATTAAGTCTGGATACACCCATCAGGGAAAACATTGCCTCATGATGTCAGGTTATGTGGTTTTGGGGCATAACATTGTATCTTATTATTTACTAATCACAGCATATCACTAGCCCAGGCATAAAACAAATTTGCATTGATAAAGCAAACAATAATTATAAATGTCCCTCAAGAGGGTAGAATATTCTTGTTTCTAATTTGAATTTTAAGTATTTTAAATGAAGGCTTAATTATTTTAATTTTCTCAATACAATTTTTTTTTGGTCAAGGGGATTTTTTAAAAATCCAATTGAAGAGTCTGAAGATGTATTGTTTGTAATAGTTTGTCATTATTGCTAGAGATTTAAACTATGTTGTGTATCTGAGGAGGTTAATCACTGTTTTTTTTAAAAGGAAATCAAGAATAAAATCCTTATTGGAAGACTCTGCCCCAAAGAGCTTATTATTCTTTACACTAACTCCAAGGAACAGCAGCCTGTCAGTTCCTTTCCTCAAGAGGTCTTTAAAGAAAAAAACTTCCCTCTGTTAGCAGCTGAGCTCATGAGAAAAGTGAAGTGGCTGTTTTGCCTCAGACTTCTTCCAATTCAGTGTAACTAATGTGGATACTGCAATTGTTATATATTTTTGTTTTACCCAAATGAATATCAATTATATAGCTGTTTTTCCACAGAGCAGTGAGGCTTTTGTTGTTCTTTACTTGAAAAGATTTGAAATACATGTGGCCCAGATTGGTCTAAGAGGGGATCCCACATACTTAATTCCTTAAAAAATAAGCAAGTATGTGGATCTCAACCCAAGTACTCAAAATAGTTTTAAAAATACATTTTTATTTTCAAAGATCTTCATGTTAGCAGTATACTTCCCTTATACAGTCTTCAAAGACAGAAAACATAAAAAATTTTGTTTATGTCTCATCACTCAATACAGCCTGGTAACTGATGAGATTTTTTTTTCTATTACTGGCAGTTTTGAAATATGAAAAAGGCTTTACCACCATAAGTATCTGGGGTGTTGGAAGTTGATTTGGCTTATTTATTTACACATCATTTCCAGGCTGACAACTTTTAAGAGATAAAAACCCAGAACATATTTAAACAATATCACCGAGTTTTCTGGTTGGTAATGGAGGAAGTTTAGAAGAGATGAGAAGAATCATGACATCCCTCTTCAATTCAAACTGAAAAGCATGTCAGCCTTGAGGCAGATTATCCAACAATAACACCACCTTTGTGACCTCTTTGTTGCTTCCTTGGGTTTCTCATTGCTCTCTTGCACCATCATCTCCTCTGAACTGCCTGTGAGACACATACGTAATCCCATGTGGCTGTTTCTATTCCTCACTGATAACCTGATCAATCTTGTTGGCATCTCAGGGCCTCTTCTGGATCCTGCAGCTTCACTTGTGCAGTGCTGAGACACCCAGGCTAGTAAATCTGCTCTCTCCACATCTCACACTCTCAGATCCAAAATCATCCCCTCTGACATGTAGTGCTGAAGAAGGACTTCCCACAGAATCACAGGAAATATCCAAAATCAAAAAATCTACGTCCTAAACCACAGGGTCCTTTTTTGTCGTCATTTTCCATTACATGTTTCAGAGCTCTGTGCATCCATATGCACTCATGTACCTGCACAGACACCTTCTCATGGCAGCTGTAAGTGGGAACTGATGAAGGGTTACTCCCTTCCCCCCTTATCTGGCCTTCCCAAAATTTGGCCTTTCTCTGCTGGTTTGGAAAAACCAGAGCAGATTAAGAAGAGTCAGGATGCAGATGCTCATAGTGGACTAGCTGATGAGCAAACCTTAGTCCTTTACCTGAGAAAAAAAGAAACAGAATAGCAAATTACAGATCCACTTCAAAAATTCCCCTTGAGTAGAATGACAGCACTTCTTAGATGTATTTCTTTCTTGGAAGAAAGGAACAGACAAATAATAAATACAGTTTACATTAAGACACACTGAAGGAGAACATTAAGTACATGGTGCATTTTTCCTTAGGTGGACCATACCTCCAGTATGCAATTCAACTATTATTAGCTTAAATGCTCTATTTCAAATGGTACTTAGTAACAGTTTTGCTAAACACTAATGCAGCTTAAAAAATAGTTTATAAAACTTTTTGCATTCATAATGAAAGATAACTATTTTGAAACTCATAATTTGTTGCAGTCTGCCAGTCTGTTTACACAGAAAAACAAATTACTTCTGCTGCACACTTGACACAGAAATAGGCATAATGTACTCCGTGAATTTCAAAAGTCATCAAGACATCCAGGATTTGAAAGCAGAACAGTAAATCCTCATCGTCTTTTCATGATATAGGATTAATAAAGCACTAACATACAAGTTACACATTCAGCACACAGTAGCCTTTACTAAAAGAAAAATATCCAATTTTGTCTTAAATTCTTTAATACTGCTTATAAGCTTATTATTTCCTGATGGTATTTTTTAGGCAAAGTTTCAAAATTAATGTAAGGCCATTTGCAGAAATCAAATACATGAGAACTAATTTGTACCACTGTATTAAACATGTTTTTTTTTTAATTTTGCTATGATTTGATATTTTTATGATAATACTCCAGATAGCTCTGAAGAATCCTTTTGCAAGTCTTTTAGAGACCACCTTTCCACTTTCTGTATTTTTGTGTTTCTAAGAAACCAAAAAGGTTTAGAGTTTTTTACTGATTTTTTTTTTTGGTACTCCCGTTTTTTCTGCAGCTGCCTCATTCACCTGTTTTTGGAGAGCCTGTTAACACCATAAACAGCTTCCCAGGTACATTACAATCAGCCAGCTGAGAGTGGATGACTTTTCAGACACAAAGAGCCGCATACAAGATTGATGTGTGAGAATATGTGCCTACAAGCAAAGTGTTTTACCACACAGCCTTGTGGCACTTGTTGCCATCTTCCTTGATCCATATAAAGTCTCTTCTTCACTTGTCCTGGACAGTGTTAAGATTCCTTTTTTCCTGACTGGGTAATGAGGAAAACAATGGACAGTATAACAGCTATGTCTAGCAGCTGTGATTTGTGGAGGACTATAAGTCTACAGACAGAAGATATACATAAACAATATTTCAAAATGTTGAGTCTTGGGTTTTGGTAATCTTGATTGAGCTCTGAGTGCAGGATTTACATAAAGGTCAGCTAGGAAAATAAGGAAGGAAATGTTGACTTGTATTATCCTGACCTACAGAGAGTAGGGCAGTTGGACTTGCCATGTTGCAAGGAGAGAGATCATATTTTTAGTAGGAAACTTTACTGCACCCTCTGTGCTGCTCTATCTGTGCTAGAAAAATCCCATTAATAACAGAGAGACATGGACACAAAATTACATAAAATAACTGATAACACAGCCACAATATGGATCTTCAGCTGGACCTGCTTTTAGCATCCTACTCCTTTCTCATTTTTTTCTTTCAGTAAAAGATATTTTAAACCAGCCTCTTTCTCTTGAGAAGTGGATTATTTTTCTTCTCATTTCTTCTCATTCCCCAACAGAGTATTGGGACTAAAAGTTCTGATGTCCTTTTTAGGACATCATGACATCATCTTGAGAAGGTTTTTCTGACATAGTTGGATGCCAGTTTTACATAACTTTCTGTCCATTGAAAATAAACAAAGTACATTATTTACTTATATTTTCTGATTTTAATGGATACCAATGTATTTTTGGTTAAATGGGCTGAAAAACCCAGCCTAATTCTTCCAGTGATTTCTGAATGTTCTAAAGTCTGACATTTGATGAATATTTCAGTGGGTACATTCCATTCTAGTATCTCCCCTAATAATTACACAAATTCCCTGTGCATGATCCACATAGACACGATGCTCAGCTGTTGATGAACCATGATTATTACAGAAGAGTAACAAGAGGGAGCAAAAGAGAGAATAATCTTAATTAGACTTTGGGGTGCTAGGGATGAAATACTGCTTTGTGTTTGGAAGCAGTGTGTGCTGTGTCATTTCCATTAAATAAAAACCACATGCAAGGTCCATTTCAACACGCTTAACATGCAAACAAATAATTGAACATATAAAAGCATGAAATATGAAACTTACATGAAACCAGTGGGATTTTTTACTGTTTCTTAAACACATGTATAATATTTTAGATAGAAATGTGCTGTGAATTGTTCTAAAGCTAGACATGAGAGAAGACAGGATTTGCTTTTGAAAATAATTGTTTTTTGGAGGAACTACAGCATGAATAGATTTAATTGAAAGATTTAATAGAAACATTCCAGAATATAGATAGCTGAAATACCATTAAGTTTCCACTAATTGGAAAAAACAGGTAGATATCTTTCTGCTTGATATTTATTATAACATGTTTCTTTGTAAAAATAAGATGAAACATTTCATTAAAGTGCAGCTTCTACTAAGCATCAGTGTGCTTGCAGAAGAATAAAATCATTTGTGGTAGAAGAGATGCCTCTTGGGTCATCTCAGTCTATCAGCCTGAATCATTGGTGGATGGATTTCATTAAACTCAAAATACATTTGAATATCTTTGGTGATAAAAATGCTGTAACCTTCACTGGCAGGTTGTTTCATTATGCCACTCA